ACGAAAATAAATAATCGATGGATCTATCGATCCATCGATTCGGGTTGTCATTTCCGGTCGTTAAGATTTCTTTCATTGATTTTTCTCTTTTCTTTTCTTCGTTTCCGGTTTATTTGTCAGGTTTTTTTTCCGATCTTCTTCTTGTAAATTTTTTCGAAATCGGAAAAAAAAAAAAATTAAATAATAATCGACAACGAGTATTTCGATTTCATCAATCGATCCATCGATCGATCGATCGATCGATTAATTCGATATGAGTCTGTGTATGCTGTTTCCCGTTCTTCTCGACGAATTCGTCGTCGACGATCTGTCGTGATATGTCGTCGACGATGATGACGACGACGCGCAAGAACTCAAACTCGTTGACGGCGTCAATCCGAATATTTCCTGTACCGTTCTTCTATGAGACGTTACTTCCGGTGACACGGATTCTGGAAAAAGAAAAGGTCAATCAAATCTTCACCTTTCCTCACCGACAACATCTCTCTTTCTCTCTCTCTCTCTCTCTGTTTATGTCACGCACCGATTATTGGCGTTTGATCGTACAGGGAACCCTGTCGGAATCCTTTCATGAATGAATTTCTTATTGATTCCGGGGAGAGAACGTCCAAACAATTTTCCGCCGCGTACCTCCACCGTCTGTGATCATCCGATTGCTGTTTTAAATTTTTCAACCATTTTTGTTTTTCTTCGACGTTTCTCAACTTTATAGTCGCTATCATTTTTTGATTTGAAACTAATATGATTTCCAATGAACTTTTCCCACTCGTCACCGTCACGTTCTGCAAGGATTAAAAATATATAAAATTTTCCCTTTTCCGAACGACAGCAATAATAACAAATTTTCCTCCACCTTGTTTATGGGCACCACCCGTATCGGTGGTGCCTCACCGGTTTCGTAAAATCTTCTCTGTTCCCAAATTTCCAATTTGAAGGATTGCAAACGTGCGAAAACGGTTTGATCGTACGGTATGACGTCATCGTTTTCGTCGTCGTGAAGACATATCGTTATCACTCCCGAATAAACCTGTTGAGCGAAAGAATTCGGTTGAGCTGCTAAACGACAGCAAAAATGACCGAAAAGAGGAAGCTGATGACTTCTCGTATCTGAAAAAAAAATTATTGTAATTTTTCTAATGAATTTTTTTTTTCTCCATTTTTTTCATGTAGAAAATTCCGACAGAGAACGTACCTGTAACTTGAATTTGCAAATCATGAGTACGAATATTGTCGTGTACTTCGTCCAACGTCAGCCTCGCCGTTGCCGTCAATTCGAAACGTGGACCACTGAAACAACAGCAACAAACAATTAACAACACGCGTTCGAAATGTGGAACGTTAGGAAACACCGTTCGGGAGATGGGGAGAAGGAGGAGGAGGAGGAAGAGGAGGAACGGTGCGACGTGGGAGGAGGGAGGCAAAAAAATAAACCGGATCAAAAATGTTGAAACGTAAGCCAAAAAAAAAATTTTTTTTTTTTTTTTTAAATTCTTACATTTTACCAGCGTTTAATTCGTCGTTTAACGTGGCCGCTAATTTTTTACCCACGGTTCTACTAATACTGCTGTGTATTGTTTTTTTAATTTTTCTCGACGTGCTCGCCATTGTAAGATCATCCTGGAGTATGTGACTGTAAACTTCCAATTTCAATTCGAAATCGGGTGGCACGTTGTTGCTGGAAACAAAAAAAGTTAAATGAGTATCGTTTGTTCGCGTGCGTGTGCGTGCGATTCGCGGATTTTTCTTTTTCTTATTATTCCCCCCCGCCTCCCGGGAACCTTACAATAACATTATGTCCGGAAATGTGAGATCTGTCAATGATCGATCGACCGGACTCAATAAAGACGTGTCGTAGATTTCCGTTCCGACTCGTGCCAAACAGAAAACGGCAAATCTCCTGTAGTCTCCTTTGTTTTTAAAATGATCCGTGTCCCGCCATATGAGTGGCATTCTCAAATCGGATAAAGACAAACGAGCTTTCGATATGTTAGTCGGCTGCTGTCTGTAAGTAAAAATAAAACAATAATAAACAAACATGAATATGACGACGACATTTTTTTTTTGTTTGTTTGTTTGTGTTTGTGTTTGTTAGTAACAATTATTTTTTCCTTTGGCAAATTGTCGCGCGAAGAGAGAGAGAGAGAGAGAAAAAAAAGGCGGAGTGCCAATTTGTTTAAAAAAATGTCTGTCACAATCCCAGTTTTTTTAATTTCTCGCGTGATTTTTTTTTTTTTCTTATGCTTACTCTTCATTTTTTATCCAGCATAGGGGGATGGGGGAGGGAGGGGAAAACGAAACAATGACAACAAAAAAAAAAAATCGTTTGCCTTTTCCTTCAAGGTTTTCAATCAATCATTAAATGAAACCTACGCGCAATTAAAAGCGGCAGTAAAAATTTTTTTCTTTTTTTTTTTTGCGGTAATTTTATTATCATTCTAGAATTTTCGGAAAAGAAAAACAAATAAATAAATAGTTTGGGATGGAATGATGATGATAATAATAATAATAATTATTATTTTTTGTGTTGTCATCGGAGTTATAAAAAAAAAAAAAACAACAATTATCATCGGAATGCGAAAATCAATTAATTTTTTTTTCTTTTTTCGAATTCCGGAAATGATGATACGAATAAATAAATCTCAAAAGTAGCGAGAGTGAGAGAGATAGAGATAGTGAGGGAAATGACGTCACGATGACCGTACCCACTGGGAAGGGAAGAAAATAAAAAAACAAGCGCGAAATTGAAAATGAGAATCCAAAAAAAAAATAAAAGAAAAACGCGATACGCGAATTAGGAGAGTCCTGTAGGAATCTTGCATAACGAAACGGGATAATGTGCGGAAAGTCATCAAAATCATCTCATTTTAAATGAAGGAGTGGAAAATGAGGGAATGGAAGTCGTGGAAGAATTTTCTCGGGTCACAAAGCTCAACCTTAGAAGACACTTAAAGGTTGATTGATGCAAGGTACGGACGGACCAAATACCTTGAAAAAAGGTACAAACGCTTCCCTCATCGACTAGAATAGCACGAAAGAGATGCGTGACGAAATGACAGGATGAAACCCTACGCGAATGAAGAAGAAGAATCAACCGAAGAATGGTACAACCCTAACTCCGAGGCAGGTACTATCAACTACCAAAAGAAATTCCTCAACAACTTCTCGGGTAGCACGACCGACATTCAAACCATTTATTCTGGAAGAACCTATTACAAAACCTGGAAGCGATCCTGGAAAATTTCGACGATTAATGACGAAACGTCTTCCGCCTTTATTACAAAAATTCAACAAAAATTCGAATAAGGAAATGTAATGTTTGTCGCGTTTGTCTGGTTGTTTTCGTTGTTGTTGTTGTTGTTGTTGTCGATTCCGTTCGTTTCGTGTAAACAAATTAAAAATAAACTCAATCTTGTAAAAAAAAAAAATTTCGTAAGGAAAAAATGAATCGTGTAATTAAGAAACGTGTCGTGGTCGAACGTAAATGACTCGCGAACGCATCAGTCACGGGGATAAACGTTCGCGGAACTTTTTTTCGGATTACCCGAACGGAATAAAACAAATTTTTTTTTTTCTTTCTTTCTTTCTTTCTCACCCTAAACTCCTGCTCGGAGCTTCTTTTTTTCTCTTTTGCAATTCCGACATGTAAGCAGACATTCTCTCGTTGGACGTTAGCAAATTTTTTGCAGCTTCCAAAGATTGCGTTCGGTGTTTACACGCGGCCAACAATTTCGTCGTACCCTCTCTCATTTTGATTTCCAAATCGATTTTCTGTTCCAAATCATATTCCTGAAACATCAAAAGAAAACCAAAAATTAAAATCAAACCTTTCGCATCGGGTTTTGTTACGCGCGTTTTTCATTTTCCCCTCCCTCCCTCCTCCTCCTCCTCCCCCCGTGAAAACGCACACGCGTTCGGACACGTGTACGGACGGGTAAAAAAAAAAAGACAAAAATACGACAAATACAACATAAGGAAAAAAAAAAAAAAAGACGGTCGTGAATGATGATAACGTCAATAAACAAACAAAGAAAAACAACAACAACAACAACGTCTTTGTAAATCGTGTAATTCTCGTATCGACGAATAGGAAACGAGAAACAAGTTCGATTATTGTGAATCGACTATTTTCGAGACTCGTTTTTTTTTCTCGAATCTTTCATGATAATGTTGCCTTGACTTACGCAGTCACAGTATGTGAGTCGTTTTAAGAAGCAGAACTCGTTTGAAAATCTTGAGGAAAAAAAAAAAAAAAACTTTCGTGATTTTTCTATTTCTTTTTTTTTTTTTTTTCCGTTAAATTTTTTCTTCTGTCGTCTGCTTCTTATTGTTTCGTTTCGTTTCGTTTCGTTTATTATTATTATTATTTTTAATTTTCGGTTCGGTGAACGAACAAAGACGTTTGATTATTGTTATTGTTATTATTATTATTATAATATTTTCGTTTAAATCGTTACGTCATCGTAATAACGTGTTTTTTTCAGTTTTTTCAAGTTTTTTTTTTTTTTTGTAAACGTTCAAGAAGGCTGTGAGTTTTTGTAAACAAAAATTTTGTTTTGGTTAATATTGAAAGGAGGGTACGTTATTAATAATATTCCATTCGCTCATTTATTTATTTATTTAATTAATTTTTTTTTTAATAACGGCAGACACGCGAACGCACGACTAATTCCACGTTTAAAATTTTTTTTTTTTTTCTTTTTGGCCTCATCTCGAATAAATATGATTTTAATATTCTTATCAATCTTAATAACAACACTCGAACTCGTTATTTATTTACTCGTCACATGATATTTGAATCATCGAAATCATCAGGATGCCTCGTTTTGCCTTCAAATCGAATATGTTATCATAGTTCAACCTTAAACCGCCATCTTTAAACTCGTACGCACGCACGCACACGCACGCAAAACGAACCTTACAAGTTCGCTGACGACAACGTGTTCGCTTGTATTTTCGACGTGTAATCATCATCATCATCATTATCATCATTATCATTATCATTATCATCATCATGATCACATGTTTCGAATTCTTCATATTTTCTTTTTTTTCCTGTGATTCTGTCAAAAAAAAAAACTCGTTTCTCTCGGTTTTAAATTTGATCTCGTATATTTAAAAAAAAAAAAAAACGTTATCGTCATTATCATTATCATCATCGTCGTCGTCGCCATTTTAACCTTTTCAAGTAAATTACGAGTTAAATAAGTGAATAATAATAATAATAATAATAATAATAATAATTTTTTTTTTTACCCGTAACAAACAAACTCGTAAATAATTAAAAATAATTTTAACCTGACGCGTTGTAAACCGGTTCGAAAATGTTTTTACTTAATTAGTCGAAAGCGGAGGGAGGGAGGGA